GGCAGGGGCTGCGAGGTCTGGTCCCTGCTCACAAGAGGCTCTGCTCGTCCTCCAGGTGCAGACGCGTCTCCTCGAAGAGAAGGGGTTGCGTGGGGCTGCCGGTGCCGCGGCCAGGGAGCGTCTTGGTGAAGTCGGAGGAGCCTGAGTGAGGAGAAGGGGAGGGTCAGCCCCAGCAGCACCAGCTCTGGGGTGAGGCTGAGAGCTCAGACAGGGTGTCTGCCCCAGCTAAAATGCAGGTTCTTCAAGTGCCAGGAGTGGGACATGGGACACACTAAGGGGACATGCTACCTGCCACCAGCCTGGGAGAGGCCAGCAGATGTTCATGGTGCCCACCAGGCAGCAGAGCCCTCACCCAGGAGCCCAGGTGGGGAGGATCGGGGTTTCTGCTGCCCTGCCTGGGGTCCTGACACTGGGGACAGTGGGGACTCTGCAGAGTGCAGGGATGCTGGTACAGGCAGTGCAGGCTGGTTGGTTTGCTGCCTGCTCCTTCCCTGCCCCGGAGACCAGGATCAAACCCATCCCCACTCCTGCCCAGCTGCCCAGGAGGGGTCCTGCTGCCCCACACCACGGCGATGCATGAGAATGAGAAGACGTACCAGCTTACTCCTCTATACCAACAGAGCAGGAATCAGGACCCAGTGCTGCCCAAGACAGGAGGGAGGTGGAAAGAGACATTAGAGAGGTGCTCAGAACAGACTGCAGCTCTACGGAAGAAAACAGGCTGCAACAACAACATTCAAGGTAAGGCCAGTGAAGCATGGTGCACCACGGCCCTCCCCGTCGTGACACCGCACTACAGCAGGGGGTGCCCGCTACCCCCCACGCACGCTCAGTCTCCCAGAAGCCAGCCCAGATGGTTCCCCTCCCTCAGGCAAAGGCAGGAGTGTAGTTTGGGGGCAGGTACAGAAGGTCACTGTCACATAAATGGTACCATGGACTGGCCACAGCCCGGAGAGGAGAAAGATGGGGAAGGACAGAGACAAAAGGGTGAGGGAGGAGAGAGAAAGGGGGTCAAGTTACCTCAGTGTTAAGGCCCCTCGCTCACAGCTCACTGCCCGCTGGAAGGACACCGCAGCCCATGCTCTGGGCAGGTGCATCCCTGTCCCACCCCAAGGCTGCAGCACGCTGCCTCGGCTGGGGACACTGCCCACGGCCTGGGCACAGCCCACAGCCCCCGCAGGCCCCATGGTGCCTCGAACCACAGCCGCAAGCACAGCAGGCCAGCATCGTGCCTCTGACCCCAATGGCATGGCCATTACCTGGCAGGTAGACGTCTACTGGAGGGTTGCTCTCCGACTGTGTCAGGCTCCTGTGCTCACCGCAGCTGCCGTCCTGCAGGACGTCTTCAACAGAGGGTGGGCGGCTACCTAGAACCAGCGAGAGCATAGCCCCTCAGTCCCCAGAGCAGCTCTGCAGGGGCATGTGGCCAGGACAGGTTGAGATCTTTCACGTGAGGAAGCCATGTGAGGAGACAGTCCATGGCATGGACAGCTCTACTTGTGTAGAACTTACAGCCAGGAGATGCTTGGCAAATAAATGTGGGAGATTTGTTGATTTTGCTTCCCTGCTTCCCAGGAGAGACCCTGGCACCTTCCTCTGGTGAAGCACAGCACCTCAGAGATGGATTTCAGGGGCTGGATGTTTCTGAACTCGTGATCCATTCCCCAACCATCCCCGTCTCACCACAGCAGAGCTGGACACCAAAGCGAGCTCTGGTCACCCCCACAGCTGAGTGCACACCTACCCTGCTGCAGAGATGAGGTCTCCTCGATCTCTTCCCCTGCTACGCTCTGCAAGGAAGAACAGCACAGGTTAATTCTGCAGGCTGGAGGCTTTTGCTGCACTCGTCTCCTGCTCTGGCTCTCTCCAGAGCTGCGCTCAGGTCAGGGACTCATTTCTCAGAGGGAGCAAGGGGCCACCCAGCAGTGCTGTGCTGCCATGGGCGAGGATGGAGGAGTTTTACAGGCAATGGCAGCGGGTGCCCTGCAAGACCCAGCTTCCACCCTTGCCCCAAACTCTGCTGAGCGACCCCAGGAAGCTGGGGGAAGGTCAGCTCTGACATGGCTGCAGCAACGTGGCTTTCCAACCCCCCAGCTCCCAAAGACATGTTTGGGGCACAGGGAGCAGCTACGTCCTTCTCTGTGGAGCCCTGTGGGTAATAAATAAACGCAGCCAAGACTGTTGGCTCCGAGGAACTCGTGCTAACGAGCTCATCTTTGCCCTGTCACTGAGGAAGCAATGGCCCTTCATGATGCCACCTCCCATGTCCCCAGAGAAACCCCCCTAGAAGAGCTCTGGCTCAGAGCAGCTCCCAGCAGAGCACACTTACTTCTGGAGAGCTGGTCTCTCTCAGGACCAGCTCAGCCCCACTCACTGCTGGCTGCGAGTCAGAGTCCTCGGAGAGCTTCTCTTCATCCTCCTCATGGATCGGGGACGAGGGAGACCGTAGTGTGCTGCAGCAAGAGAAACTCCATCTGCAGGGAGCTGCAGTGCTGCCAGCACCACAGGCCCTGGCGGATTTGGTGGCAGCAGCTCAAGTTGTCACCACCCCTGCCCTGTCCCTCCACCAGCAGCATAAGCCAACACACATGAGCAGGTTGAGCTAAATTCACCAGGGCCTCTGGTATCAACTACATGGAGAACAGCAGCAGCAGCATTGCTGGGGCAGAGCCAAGCAGTGCAGAACTGCAGCACATTAACACAGCTTGGACAAATCCTGCCTTCGCATGGAAAACAAGAGGCCCAGGTCCCACACTGCTCCGCACACTGTCAGGGGCTCCATTCCCAGAGGGAAATTTGGAATGAAACACAGCGAGGAGTGCCAGGAGCAAACCTGGTCCGACCCCACCTGTGCAGCCCAGCAAGGGACACAAGAAGGGCACCTGCAGTGGGCTGCCCACTCAACGGCATCCACACCTACAACCTCCATCACAGGGCCCATAGAGGCAGCTTGAAACAACTAAAGGATCTCACTCAGCATTTTGTGCTCTGAAATTCAGGTCGCTTCTCTCCCCATTCTTTTGTTCCTGGGGATCTCTATGGAAAGCTGAAATCCAACAAGGTTTGGATGTCAAATGCAAATTGAGGGACTAACTGCAGTGGAAAGAAGACATTTCCATCCAAGTCTGGATGAAACCTTGTTAAAAATCCTTGGGAGATATAAGCTGGTCACCTCAGGTTGAACACACAGGCAGTGTCCCAATTCTCTCACTGGCTTGAGCACCTGCTCTCCTCCTAAAATTGTGAGGTTGCAGTGCTACCAGCGATGGGACTAGCCAGAGCCCTCTCCTGGCTCCCAGTGCACAAGCCCTCAGGGCTTGCAAGAGGAGCGGACCCCTTTGTTCCCCATGCTGACCTATCTGGAGACTTGCTCCGCTTGCCCTTTTGGTGGCTGCTCTCCACGGCTCTGTCCATCCCAACAAGCGGTCGGCTGGCAGGCGGCATGCCATCCACCATGCCAGAGGAGTAGTTGATTTCATCGTACAGAGGAGCTGATGGGATGGAGGGGGAAACAGAGCGAAGGCCATTCAGTGCTTCCAGCAAGGAAATGGGCTCATAGCCTGGAGGGATGTTGTCAGAGCTCTGTGGGCAAGAAAGAGAGGGGCAGGTTAAGAAACCCTCACCAGGCTGGAAGCCCCACTAGGAAGGGGAGGTGTGGCTGCAACCCGGCCTTATACCTCCCACAATCTGCTCCCAGGCAGCCCATCCCCATAGCCACCTCTCCAGAGAGCCTCAGCCTCCTTCCCCTGTAGCAGCCACCCCTTTGGGCTGTAACGCTGCCGATGCTCCAGGAAAATTTCCCAAGCGATGCTTGAGAGCCTGAGCATCTCAGCAAGCCAGGACATGGCTGGGCATCCCCGCACCATACTTTCAAGAGCCAGACAAAGAGGGTGAGAAAGCAGGCTCCTAACAAAGCTGCTACAAAATACATCTGGATTTTTTCTCCTAAAAGTGCCTCTGGTGGTTCAGAGACCCTTCCAGCTCAATAAGCATCCACTTGTGCTTCCAGCTGTGGTACACACAGCTGTTTCACAGCATCACCAGTGTCACTACGAGAGAGTTGAAGGAGGGGAGTACGTGTGCACCAGCTGAGAGCTGGTCCTCAGAGCCTACAGCACTTCCACTTCTCCCATGGACACAGTCCCCTCAGCTGCTAATGCTGGCTCTCTGCACAGTCGCTTCTGCTGAAAGGTAGGAAAGGGATCCCAGAACCACTGACCCTGCAGGTAGGAGGGCAAAACTGCACCAATTGCCATTCCCTCTGTAACTCACTAAGTTGGCAGTCAAAGGGAACCTTGCAAAGCCATTAAACCAACACTGGTTTAACTCCAAAAATTCCCCTGATCATCATGGTCCTGTGGACTTGGAGATAAATGGGGTTTATGCTGCAACCCAGTACGTCACAGGCAGCTGAACCCAGCCTGCTGCAAACAGACTTGCATTAAATGAAGCTGTTTCAGCCCTGCACCCTCAGGGAGGTGATTCTCTGTTGTACCTAAGAGTATGTGCTGCTGCTGAGCCTGGCCGTGAACTGCTGCAGCTTCTTTGTGCCTCATCTCCCAGTCACACAGCTACAGATGGGCCTGTCCAGCAACCTGTTCCAACTCAGCCACTAATTTGGGGTGAGCTGATTGCTGAGCTGACTCACTTGCGGTCACAGAGGGAGTGAGATCTGATGGGGAGGAAAGAATGAGTGGCACCTGGGTTCAATCATCAACCCAGATCCCCTAAGTATTGGTCTTGTGATGATTATGAGCTTACGCTGAAGACCACAGCTGGCAACTGCAAGATAACCAAGTCAGCTGAACAAGGAATTGGTTCAGTTGCTGCCACCTGTAGGCGGTGGGGCCAAAAGCCATCTCCACAAAAACATTTTATTCCAGACAGCAGCTCTGAGGTGCTATTTTGCAGACAGAAAATTCAGGGAGACAAAACCTCCTGTTTCATGTCTGGGACATTTTCTCCTGGCTGTGCAGACCAAAGGCTGCTCATTTTGGTTTGCTGTGGTGAAAGCTCAGGGTCTGCAGCACAGCTCAGAGGCTGGAGGAAGATTCCTCAGCCAATAGCTACAAAACTGTCGCTGCAAGTTACTGAGCTTTCAAACGACCCTAAGAGATACTGCTCTCTCCTGGGACTCTTACCACCACATCACCCCTAGAGCCCACTGCTCCTGCCAGAGGACCGCCAGTCGCTGTAGGAGGCTCACAGAGAGCCAAGGTCATGCCAAGCTTGCAACAGCCTCATTACCTGAACCCAGCCTTGGGTTTTCTCCAGACCTGCCAAGCACAGCAAGCCACATTCCTCATGAGACTGAGCATCCAGGCTGGCCTGAGCAAAAGAAAACTGCAGCCTCCTTTATACCGATGACAGCCATAGCTGCATTTGATGGGGGTGGCACAAACAGTCCCTTTCTGGCCTGGGGGACTCCCTCACCCTTCCCCTTCCCAGCTCCTGGTCCCCCCCCATTGTTATTCATGCTGCCCCCAGCACGGCATTCCAGTTACACACTCACACCAACTTGGAGAGCTCTCAACAAAACAAGCTCTATCCTTCCCGTTTCTGTAAAAGCAGAACGGCTCACTGCAGCATGTTCCTGAATGCAAGGCATGATCTAACCGTGCTTATTTGTCTACCTCTACATCCCAGCACCAGAGTGGAAACCACAACATGTGGCCACAGCAAACTGCCAAGGGGATGAGACAAGTGCAAGGAAGCTTTTGGGTGAGCCAAGGGGACAGCAGCTTGCCCACAGTCCTATAAAGCTACAAAAATGTCTTGGCCAGGAACTTTAAAGCAGCCAGGCTCAGAACCAGGGGACAGTCCCCGAGACAGAGTCAAGCTGCTTCCATATTGCTTATTCCTCCTCACGCAAACCAGGGAGGTCAGTGATCATCCATGCAGGGTGTAAGCGTCCCACCACTAACACGGAGGCAGCACATGGAGTGTCACAGCCTGTGCAGGGGCACAAGACAAACCCAGTGTGTTAGCAAGCCCTCGTGTGTGTAACACATCCACATGCTAGGGGCACTGCTGGCAAAGAATTGCCATAAGAGCAAATACAACCAAGGCCACTTACTGTTTCCCTTCTAGATTTCCTGCTGGGCAGGGAGACAGTGTTCACTTTAAGGGGTTTAAAGAGACACTGTCAAGAGAAAACCGTGTTTTAAAGAAGTTGTTTCTTGAGGTTAGTGACACAAAGAGACACACAGCATCTCCTCACCTCACTCCAGGTGACAGCACCTGCTTCCCTCTACACACCACGCTCTGCTTCACAACAACTCTTGGGGTTTTTCCCCTGTCCTACTGCTTAGCCCCAGTTGAAGGTAGCAGGGCTACAATGCTACAGAGGACAGAGGGATAAAACCATGTTTTTTCTGTGACACTCTCCTTCTGTTCCCATGAAAGCCTGTGAGATTATCAAGATGCAGATCTCCACCAGGGCCAGCTGTGCAACAGCACTGGTCAGGCAATGAGCTGCTGTCCTCACCGCACCGGCGAGGTGTGGCCTGGCCCTGAGGCCACCAGCACCACACTTTCCACCCCATACTCACTCAGCTGCCTGCCAAGACCATGGTCACTCAGGGAGGCTGGCACAGAGGCCTTTCTGCTACCATGCTGGGAACCCCAGTGCCAAGGGCATTTCATCAGAGCGTGCTGCCATACAGATGTGCATTCAAGTCAAACTGTAACGACCCACCACTTTCCCAGCTCCCACTCTGCCATGCCCAGAGTCTGCCACTTTTCTGCTGTGACAGACCCTCAGAAACCTTCTCAGACTGAGGTTTCTGTGCATTTGTTTCCTCCAAAAGACAGGAGGCCACTTGGCTAAAAAGAGTTGTGTTACTAAGCCACAAGAGCAGAGGTCCTGGCTTTCTAGCAGGGTTGAGAAGAGAGGCTGCACTGCCCAGAAAAACCTTGCTCTAAGGCCTGAGTGCACCTCCTGAGGTTCGAGGGACGCTGGCCATCAGGCTGAGCAACTGCTGTGTGCACAAGAGACCAGCACCCAGGCTTCACACACAGTGCTGCGAGGTACTTACAGAGTGCTCGTCATGGTCAACGCTCTGTGCCAAGACAGGGCTGAACGACACCGGCGACAGAGCCCCTGGCTTCTTCCTCACAGCCCGGATTTGCAGCAGGGCACGGAAGGCTAGGAGAGAACAGCAGGCAGTGACCAGGCTGTGCCAGACACATACCAGAGCTCCTCAGCTCACCGCAGACACACCAGGCATGGGAGAGCTCCTCGTGTGCATGGGGAGCAGGAACATGGAGTACATCAAAGCCAATGCGCTATGGTCTGCTTTCTAGTTGACTGGTCTGTACTGCTGGCCAAAAAAGTCAGGGTACATGTAGCCTTTGCAGAGAACAGGCACTGCCTGCCCTGCTAGAGTCATGTACAGAGGTGCCTAATACTGTACAACACAGTAAGAAAAACATAAGCTTGGCCTTGGGCAGTGCACTGCAAGCTACAGGATGGAGAGAACCTCATGTCAAACCACTTTGGGTTCATTCAGACCCCATAAGTCTCAGCACTGGGGTCCAGCTGGCGCTGGAAGCATCACTCCTGCCATCGGCTGCTCACTCATGCGCCAGCACTATGGTGGAGAGAGGCTCTGCGACAGCTGGGAGCCCAGCCAGAGGGTTGGTGGCTGAACTCCTGTCTCTAGTGCAGCGATCCCTTGGTCCTCCCACCACAACAGCTTTGATCTCCACACCCTGCTCACAGTCCCATTTTCTATCTGCAGATCTTTAGTACTGTTAGTTCCTCAGTGCCAGTGGTGCATATGAATGAGCCAGACATTTGTTCTGATGCAGCTGTAACAACTTGCTTATACATAAGGAAAAGCACAGGCATTTCTTCTTGCACCCAGCTGCTTGCAGTATCAGCCTAAAAAGCCAGAGGTGCAAATCTACCCTCGTTGCCTCTGCACTGCCCAGAAGCAGATTCCCAGGAATTCTAACATTGGGGCACTTTCCAAACAGATATAACCTACTCTGCTGCAGCACGCAGATGAAATAATGCTGTTCCTGTGTTTTAAGTTGTGCTACTTATAGTCAAAGCTGTCTGGTGCTTCCTCTGATAAGATCTTGCTTTTGGCTACTGCATCTTTGCCAAGTTAGAACTGTTTAGACTTAATTTCTCAGGCCAAACATCTGTCTTAGGCTCTTCTTTCTTTTCCTGAGAAGGATCAATTAGAAACAATCAAATACCTCCAAGACCAAGCACAAGGTAAAACACATGATCTGTCTATTCCAGCACACAGTCATTTTCTCAAGAGACTCCTATGCCCCTGTGCATTTGAGAAAAGACAGAATTTAGCAAGTGCTGCCTGAGTGTCAGAACGGGCATTTCATTTTTTCTGCCTTTTGGGAACAGCACAGTGGCTCTGCTCAGAGCACCTGCACCTCCAGATCCATTCCAGGGAGAGGGCAAGGGGCCAAGGAGGCACTGGACAAAGAGCCATTCTCCCATGTGCTCCCCTTCTTCCCTGTTCGAGGACAGTTATTTTAGGAATCTCCAGATGCCAGTGAGAGCAGCAGCATGTTTGATGCTGAACATTTGCGTGGGGTATACAAAATACATGCTGCCTCTCAGAGCTCGTACTGAGTTAACAGGAGCCCAGGAGGGAGAACGACGCCCTTGTTGCCTGGGCACATACTCACGCAGCCTGCAGATGGGGCAGTTGTTGGCCTGGTAGCGCAGGGTGTCAGCACAGGAATTGCACAGACAGAGGTGTCTGCAGGGCAGAATGAGGGTGTCACGGAGGTCCGACAGGCAAACCACACACTCGTTGCTGTTGTCACTGTTCTCGTCATCTGAAGGCTGCATCAAGAGGCAAGACATTGGCATTTGAATGGAAACAGCCATGTTGAACTGCCAAGGGACCCAAAAGCCTGTGAGAGAGCTGGCATTCTCTACCTGCAGCTCTCAGCAAGGGTTTCTCAAGGAGAGCAAGCGCCAGCCCACAGAGCCCTTCCTCTCCTTCCTCTTGGGGCTCTGCTCTGAGCTCACTAAAGGCCAGAGACCAGGGCACTGTGCTGTGAATTTGGGCTGTGGCTGTCCCTGCCCAGAGCTGGGCTGCGTGCAGAGGGGAGCCCCTTTGGGGCAGGGATCCCCTTGGCTGAGGGGAACCAAGAACAAGCTCCTGCCTGTCAGCATGGCAGTGGGCTCTTTGGCAGCCCAGCCTTTCTGCCCCGCATCCACAGAAAGTGAGCAGCCTCAAAAGGAGCTGCTCGCTGACTGTGGCAGGCAGCAGGTCAGGTTGCTGTCGGGCTGGACAGGTGTCTTGTCCAGTTTTCACAGCTCTTCTCAACAAGTGATGGAGAGAGTGGTTGTCCTGCCACAGCATCTTCACCAGTCTCCTGTGCTGGCACAAGCTCCGATACAGCTGTGGGAGAACCAGCCTGGCATGCTCAGTTATCTTGGTAAAAACATCAGTGTGAACCCATTCAACATGAATGTGCATCATACGAGTCTTTCCGTCACTCAAAGCCCCAAAAATTGGATTAGGCCCAGTGACCAAGCTGCTGCTGGGAGGAGAAACCCAGAAGAGCTCTCTTCACTGACACCCAAGAACTCCACAGTCTCCCCACTGATGCCGCAGAAGTTATGCCAGAACCCACCAAAGGTGCATCTGCTGCTGCTGCCACATCCACATCCAGCCTGCTGACTTTTTTTTGACAAAAAGCCTGTCTGCCACATCACATGCACTTCTCATCTATTTTGGGAGGTAGGGAGGGCAGGATTTTTTGCCTTCTCATTCATATGGTTTGCTAAGTATACCAGGAAGAACAAAAATGGCCCCAGGCCACTTGTCTGATGGGCCACAAATGTGTGATTGCTGGATCAAAAGAACCATCACAAGACCCTGGAGGACCCAAACAGAAGCCTTCAATCCTCTTAAACAGAACCCATGCAAGAAAAATCTTTGAAAAGACTTCTCCCCCCTGCCTCTTCAGGTGTTACCTGTGGGCACAGGCAGACAGAGATCACAGGATGCTCTGGACAGGACACTGCATTGCTTGCAGAGGAAACCCTGCCTGTCTCACTCTGTGGCTACTCCTCTATGTGCAAAGCACACACTACACATACCAGAGCGATCTGATCCTGAGGCCAGCACTTGGTACACTCTGCAGCCCAGGTGGCAGCAAAGGGCAACTCTACATAAGGCTAAAGCAAGCATAGAGCAGTCACGTCATCTGCATGGGGCTGTGCAGCAAGCTGGGATTCAGCAGAAACTCCTGCCTGAAGATGGGCAGTGTTTGTGGTTACAGCATTTGCACATATACTCTCAGTGATGCTGTGCTCCTTCCTGCTGTGGAATGCAGGCTGCTCTATGGACACTGGCAAGCCCTAGAGAGCTCAGCTTCCTGCAATGCTAAGGGAACATGCAGTCCCCACATTAAAAAAAACCAAAACACCACAAAACAGATTAAAATACCCTCCCCCTTCCAAACTAAAAAACCCCAACGAACAGGAGATTAAGGATGAAGGAGCCACAGGACCAAAGCACAGACACACCAGGCAGGACTACCTTGACTGCAGAGATGGTGTGGGCACCAGAGGGAAGTTTTCAGAGATGTCCGGAAGGCAGCACCCATTTACAATCAACAGGAAAAAAAAAATACTCTTGGCTCTGCAAACTGGGAAGCACCTGGACTAGGCAGCAGCCTCAGGGCAACAAGAGCAGCAGCTGGCACCAGCCCACTGTCTCTACAAGCCCTAAAGATCAGCACTCTGCCCCATGGGGCACTGATGTCCTCCTCTCCCAGCAATTCCAGTCCCTGGGAATATCCTCAAGAGCCTCATGCTATCTAAAATTATCTCAGCACAACTTCACTGCTAGTTTGGGCCTTACAACAGCAAGGACCTGCCATCCTTGGGCTTCTTCAGTGCCTGCACACAAACCTGACAGTCATTCTGGGAAGCATCTCCACATAATTAAGCTCAAAAGCAGGAGATGCAGTCTGGAAACCCCCAGCTCAGGGAGCAGGAGCCTCCTGTGCACCCTTACCTTAGTCTCCTGGTTGTTTTTGTTCTCAATGCCGTAGATCTCCTGAAGCAGGTAGCTCACCCGGTCAACCTAGGGAAGAAGACAACACTTGGAGTGCCTGCTGCTCTGTCATTGCTGCTTCATGATCACCTCCCCTCCGTCCCTGCGTCAAAACGTCTATGTTACATCCACGGCAACTGGCTCTCCTAGAGCCACATGAAAAAATTAAGAGAAACAAATATTGCAAGGGACAGGTAGAAGAATGAGCCTCTCCTTGCTCAAAAAATGGTGTCCATCCTGTCTGGTCTGAGCAGGGAGCCCAACTGGCCACTTTTGTCACTATCAAAATTATCTCAAAAAGAAAAGTACTCTGCTTGTCTCAGAGATCAAGAGGGAGTGTGCACCCACAGCTCAAATAAGTCAGAGGCAATCAGTCTTCCACAGCCCTCTGCTTTCATGAAGCACAGCTTAATTTTAACCAAGATAAACTTCCACCCATCTTTGTAACCTCAGGAGAGGTGCTGTGCCAACAGCTCATTACTGGCACATCAATGGCTGCACATCAGTTCCCTGTTCATCGCCTGGCAGTGTAAGGTCAAGCCAGTGAAGACAAACCACCTCCCTTAGCATGAGAAGCACTGGAGGGACATTAGTGCAGAGTCATTTATTGCCACCTCCAGGCCCTTGGTGGCATCTCTGAATTATGGTGTGTGGTGGCAGAAAGTGCTCTAGGCGCAGTGGAACTGCTCACAGCCCCACACCTGGGAGCTGTGTCTTTATGCAAACACTGGTAGGTGCCTGTAAACTCCCCCGAGCAGCTGGATTAAAGCAGTGAGGCCAGAAAGGTTGATGGTTCAAGTCCCAGCGAGGCAAGCCTCCTCTGCACTGTGGGGTGTTCTCCCCTCTTCTTTCGCTTAGCCGGCAAATACAGCACAAGACTCTTACAGCTGTGAGGAGCAGCCTCTACAGGGATGCACAGATACCAGTCCCACAAGATTTGCTGCTACACAGCAGCTTCACCAGAGCATGGCATGTTCCTCTGCACAAAACCCTGCGACAGGTAAAACGGTGAAGCGGTTGCAAGGTATCAAACTGACACATCTCACAAATAGGGGAAGGAAACGCTTTCCTGCCATCTCCAGTAACTGTCCAGTTGACACCATGCAGTGAAGCCAAGCCACCAGGAACCCAGTGCTGCAACAGCTCTTCAGTCCCAGGGCTTTTGGCATTTCCATTGGCCTCTCTCCTCTCCTTTTGTCAAGCCAGGTGCTCAGAAGAGCAATGGCTTTGCCACGGGATTTCAGTCCTGCAGAAGACATTGCATGCCAAGACAGCTAGCTATATCCAGCCCATTCGCTAGTTCAGAAGTGCTCTGAGCTGGGACGCAGCGGCTTTAAACTAATTCCAGAGTTGCCCTGTCCAACTCAGCGTGCGGCTCACAGACAATCTGTTCTGGGCCTGCATTTCATGGCAATGAGGTCAGCGGTTGGACTGCCGAGCAAAATCCTCTGCAGTGGCTCACAACTCACCCAGGAAGTTTGGGAACAATTATGTGGGAGATGTTCTTTTGTAACTTGACATTTCAGAGTTTTGTTACAGCATTCTGACTCCTCAGATGATCGTGATGGGTGACAGTGAGTGCAGAAGTGGTCACCTCAAAGCACAGAAGAGGTCAGGAAGGGAAAGACCAGCGTCTCTGCAGGAGTCCGAGTTCCTTTTACTGCTTGCCTCTAAAAGCCCCAAAAAGCTCATGCCCCAGCAGAAGAAAGGTAAGCAATGCAACATGCAACTAGAACTATCTCTAGGTTTTAAAAAAGAGTAGGAGTAAATAAGAAGTAGGTAACTGTACACAATGCAGTCCTTCACCTTCATGCTTCTCCAACCCATCCTGCACCATGTCACCCTTCCAAAGGCTTCTGTTGCTATATACAGCCTCAGCTGACACACACAGGAGCCACTGGCCAAGCTCAGGTCACGTTTTTCTGCTGATCCATCTGTTTGTATTCATCCACGCTGAATTTGGTACAGCCTTAAACAGGTTGGTACATACATTATAACTGATCTCAGCTGAGAAAACAAAGAAGTTCAGCTCATTAACTGCTGCGTGCTGCTGCATCCTGCTCCAAGGAGCTTTAGAGGTCAATGCACACAAAAAGTACCTGGCAATCCTGCCAATGCAAGGAGGAGAAGGCAAAGGAAAAGCAGCGATGGGGAAGAATGTACAGTGTTATGCAGATTGCTTATTCCAGACGTATACTCTATACCTCTGCTCTATACTCTTATGGGCACAGATGTTCTCAGCTTCAGTGGTACTGTGTGTTCTTCTAGCAAGAGCTTCCTTCTATTTTAAAAGCCATGAGAGAGAACATATAAGCATACATCTTATGAACTGCCAATAAAAAAAAGTACCCACAACCAAACACTGAGTGGGAAGGTTACACTCTCTGCCAGTAAAGACAGACAAGCGCACACCAGTTCACTGCAGGAGTCAGCTAACCATAGTGTGGTGGGGTGGAAACTCCCCTGGAGAGCACTTCCAGCAAGACAGCCTTCCATTTGGGGAGTCCAGAGTGCTAAATGGAGAATGGTACACACTGTGTTAGTGTGCACAGTAACCCAACACTGACTCAGAATGCTCACAGCCATGTAAGAGCTGTTAAAAAAAACAAATCCCTCCCAAAACCCACAAGCAAGATAAATGAGAGGCTTTTTATCAGCTCATGAATGCTCTTCTCCAACTAGAAGAATATGTGAAAAAGAGGCACCACTGGCATCACACTGCTCTGCTCCCTCACCACAGCTTACAAGCTCTCCCTTCAGAGGCACAGCTCTTCTGGACGTTCCCACTACAAACCTGCCTTCTTATGCTCTATAGACTCCTTTCCAGTACAGACTCTGTCTGTCTCTATTAAAAATACTTGTGGGACCCAGACTGATCAGCTACCCAGGAGATCATGCTGCAAAGCAGCCACATTGAGCACCAAGGGAGGGAGGGGAGCACAGGTCTGTGGGACACACAGGGCTCACAGTGGCAACTCACTCACTGCTAGCACCAAGATAAAGCTCTGTCAGCACAGGCTAATACTGCTGTTACTGGGCATGAGCAAGTCTGAATGACAGGCCGTGAGTCTCCGCACAGCATTGGCAAGGCAGACAGTGAATTACCAAATGCAATCTGGTGTGATTAACTGATACTGTTTAGTGTCTCTTTTCTGACCTGGGGACTGCAAGGAACATCCTCAAGCAAAAAATGTCTAATCAAGGCACTTAATGACCTTCTTGGTAGTAAAAGGCTTTTTAATTCAGGTCAGAAAACCCCAGACATCGATCACAAGCAGCTGAAGTAAACACATTTAAAGCAGAAACACAGCACATATCTAAAGATGAAGAGACTGACTATCAAAATCTTATCTCTCTCCCCCAGACATTTCAAGCTGATCCTTGCAGTGGGATGACTAGTAGATTTCAGAAGCTGAAATTCTTGGTAATCTTAACAGTTTGTAGTTGCTTATGCATTTCTCTCTATACAAGATTGGATGCATTTTCTATCTTGGTAAGGCAGCTTTGCACATCACACCACACTGTCTGGGCTAAAAAAGGGCTACAGATCCCTAACATTTCCCTGTTTGCCAATCTCCCTTCTCCCCTTTCCCTCATAACGTGTGCAGTCTGGTACATACACCACAGCTTCAAAGCAAGGCCATTTCTGTGTCTGCTCAAGTCCCAGGGTACTCACAAGGGACAGGCAAGATGAGCCAAAAAGTCTCAGTCCCTGGGACTACTCCAAAGATACCATGGGTACAGCAATGAAGCTTGTGCAGGGAGGAGATGATCCCCTCATATCTTAACACACACATGTGTGTGCACACAAAGGTACAGTTTTCAGCCTCCAGATAGGACATGAGGAGTCTGCAAAAATATCCTTCCACAGCACAAAACATCACACACAGCCTAAGGAGATCAGGTAGTGTCAGTGAAGACATGTGCTTCACACTAATTACTCATACAGCACTTCAGCTCACTCATGTAAACCCAATTTCCTTGCATCTATATAGCCATGGAAGCATCAGTGCTGTGGTATGTTTACTTATGTTACAGTGCTTTGCCGGTTTCATATTCAAGTGCCAAATGCCAGCAAGGGAAGACTGGATCATAGTGCCTGCCTCACAGAGAAGCAGAGACCTGCACCGTGGTTCTGCCAGTCCCACAAGGCCATAATTGTTCCCCCAACACACATCTGGACGTGCAACAACCAACACAACCTTAAGCCGCAGCTCACTGCCTTTGCTTATGTTAGATCTCAGGCTCCCAGTTAGCTTCTGATGTGGGACATCAGCAAATGTCTTTTATCAAGCAGTATACAGGAAACAGGTACTTACGATCTGCTTCTGTTTTAATGGCTTCACAGAGAAACTGCCATCAACATGCTAGAAGGAAAAAAAGGAAATACATTAAATAGCTGAAGTGTACGAATTTAGAGTAAAACAGATCCATGATCAGAGTTGGTGTCTGCTAGCTAAGGGGAAGATGGTATGTGCATAACCAGGACAGCTCGAGTGGCAATCATTCCCAGCAGAGTCAGTGGAACAGGGTATCGCAGTGCTCCTTGTCTGCTCCAGTGCAGAACAAGTTGAACTTGGCTTAAGTTAAACCTGTCTGAATCGGATGGGAGCATACACAAAAATCCATGGGTACACTGCATGCTTTCAGGCTGCAAGCAGTCCAACTGGGTGCAAAGCAAGTCCAGCAAGACTTGGCAGGGAATATTTGTTAACACCCTAAACAACATCCAGTTACAGAGCGACTCTCACAATCAGAGCCCCCAGAGAGCAGAAGGCTGGCATGAGGCTGAGAACAGGGCTCCTCCACTGGATGGAGTCAGAAATATGTCACACATGTTCCACACTGCCATCTTCAGAGCTGCTGTGACTGCTTCCAGCCTTTCATTGGCTCAGTGGTAGCAAGCAAGGCTGGAACAATTCAGTATTCACCTGGTGTCAGAACTAGTGATAGGAATTGTGTGCTATTTCTCTTTCTGCAACATCCACAAGGGCTAACTAAACTAAAGGAACCAAATCTCCTGCTACAATCTAGAGAGCAGGAAAGGAGACTCTGGGAAAACTCAAGCATGCCCTGCTGCTGTGAACAGTTGTAGATATGCATCTGTGTGCTGAGGGAGTTTCAGAAGGAAGGGACAACATTGCACCAAAAGACAAAACAGTCTTGTTTTCCAGAATGTCCTGGTTTTGCTGGGATAGTTATTTTCCACATAGTAGCTAGTGAGTTTTGTTTTGGGCTTGTGCTGGGACTGATGTGATAACAGCTAATTACAAAGTGCCAAGTTTCCGCCTTTGGAACAGCTGCAAGGTCAGACTATACATAACAGCAAGGTTACTATCCTGATCACAGAATCACAGAATCTCAGGAGT